TTCTAAGAGAGGGTTGGTTATTTAAGTATTCTATTTCATGTTCTGTTCATCTGGGCAATTTATATTTTTATAAATATCCAACATGTATCATATTATCAACTAGATTGTCAGTTTTATTGGCCTACAGTTGGGCAAAATAATTTCTCTTATTTCTTTCATTTGTTATAAAATAAGTTTTTTAATTTTTGAAAATGATAATTTAATTTTTTTTTTAAAAATTCAAGTTAGATAATGGCTGCTCTTTTATTTTTCAAAAACAACTTATTAGGGGCAGCTAGGTGGCACAGTGGATAGAGCACCGGCCCTGAAGTCAGGAGGACCTGAGTACAAATCCAGTCTCAGACCAAACACTTGACACTTACAAGCTGTGTGACCCTATGCAAGTCACTTAATCCCAATTGCTTAAAAAAAAAAACTTTTAAATTCTTTTTTTTGTTTTCAATTTTATCAACCTTTTCTTTGATTTTCTGGATTACTATTTTGGTTTTAAATCTTGATTTTTAACTTGATTTTTAATTTTAATTTTTAAATTGCATACTCAATTCATTGATCTGCTCCTTCTTTTATTGATGAAGGTGTTCAGGGACAGAATTTTTTTTTTTACTGAGTATTGTTTTAGTTCACCCACAAAATTTTGGTGTGTTGTCTCATAGATGCCATTATCCTTCATGAAATTAAAGTTCCTATGTATTGATCTTTGACTCACCCATTCATTATGACTGTTATTCTCCAATTAATTTTGATCTTTACTTCAATATCATTTTGTTTAATATAATTTTACTGCATTTTGGTTAGTAAAATATTTGTTTTCTCATTCTTTTTTTGTTAGGTTTTTATCACAATATATGGTCAATTTTTGTGAAGATTCCATGCATAGCTAAGAATAGTTATACTCCCTTATATTCCCATTCAATTATTTTCAGAGGTCTATCACATCTAACTTTTAAAAATTCTATTCTAGGCCTTAATTTTTTTTCTTCATTAGATTTGTCTAGGCCTGATAAGAGGCAAATTGAGGCCCCTCAACATTAGAGTTTTACTCTCTTATTTCTCTCTATGTAAATTTTTCTTTAAATATTTAGATGCTAGGCCATTTGGTACGTATATATGTAGTAATGATATTAATTCATTGTTCATGGTACCTTTCAGAAAAAAAATGTAATTCTCCTGTTTATCTCTTTTAATTATGTCTTCTTTTATTGCTGCTTGTCTGAGATCATAATTATTACTCCTATCTTTTTTTTATTTTAGCTGAAGCATAATAAATTTTACTCCAGCCACTGCTCAAAGAAAGCATTCTTGATATAAAAACATGTCTTCTGTATATCCTATAAATCTTTGACCTCTTCTCTTTTCTTACTCCTGAATCATATTTCCCAGTGCAATTTTTGCCATCTTTCGTTATACATACTTTTGCACTTAAGGCACCATGTATTAAAGTATATCTTTATTTAATTTCAAGAGTTTTATCAAGTTCTTCATAAAATTTCTCTTTCCCTTATTCTCTGCCACAGAAACTGGTACATAATCTATAATTATTGTAATGGTGATCTTTGAAAATGTTTATCAATTTATCTCTACCTTCCATCAGTAGCTCTGCTTGGTTTGGACTATATGGAACATTATGCCTCCCCTAAGATAAACTGATCACTTGAAATCTCATCCCCATGCAAATTTTATCAGTTTTTGATACTCTACACCTTCTCAATTCTCTCATTTGCCACTCCCCTCTGACTGGAGGGTTGGAGGGTAGAGTATTAAATTCCTCCCAAAGTCTTCCTTTATAGAAGGCTCAGAACTTCCAAGGTAATTGCATTTTTCATCAGCAGCTCTGTTTGGTTTCAATTTCATAGAACAGTATGACCCTGCATCCCCATCAGGGTACCGATTACTGGCCTCTCCCCCTTCACAACTTCTTTTTGTGTTCTAGATTCCCTCATTAAGTTATGAGTTCAATGAAGACAAGGCCTGCCTTTCTTTTTTGTTTGTTTGTTTATATCCCTAGCACAGTGCCCAGTACATAATAGGCACCTAATAAATGGTTATTGAATCGAATTATCACGTGCTAGTATTCACAATATGAGATGAGAAGTTCCCTTGGAGAAGCTGCCAGGACAGAAATTTTGCCACGTCAAAGTTTCTACAGTGACATCCTATTGCTATAATGAGTTCATTATAGAATTTCCTAGAGCATAGGGGAAATATGGATCCTAAGTTCCATGTGGTTTGTTCCTCTATGGCTTTAGGGAGTTTATTTTAGGGGGAAAAAAGCCATAAGTTCAATCATAATCACTCCAAACCTAGCTGCCCCCCTAGCAATATATTTGAAATACATGCACACTGAGTCTCCTACCTATTCTTAGTTCCTGAAGAAAAAGCCAGCCTTAAGATGGAATCTTTTGTCTAAATTTTATACAACTATAAAGTTTAAAAAATAACAACACCTTATTTTTCTTTTAATATTCTTTGCATTAAAAAAAAGTCACATGAAGAAAAGTAATTGTTGATCTAGTTACTCAAGAGATATTATATTTGTTCTGAGTGGACAATATTGCCAATAGTTTTTGAATGTTGTCAAGAACCTTTACATAAATGGTCAAGCAATGCTTGTTTAACACAGAGTCATGTCTATTACGTAGGTTGATGCTCAAATTATAGTTATTCTACACTTGGAATAGAAAGGTGGTTATTAAATGGTCTGTGAGAGCAAAATTATTTAACCATGGTCTGGGAGTTGAGTTCCTAAACCTGTACCAGCAAAGGTCCCTCTCCTGCATATTTTCTATTGTGCCCTCATGCCAGCAACATAGGGACAGATTTGACCACAGGTCAAAAACAATATAGAATCTGGCAAATATATTCTTTAATATATTCTTTAAGAATATTAATTTAAGAAAAACACAAATGGAAGTAAGGCTAGGGTAAGTCACGGCCCAACCATTGTTTCTGTCATAGCTCCTGCTCAAGAGCCCTCAATAAAACATAGTCACATGTACTCCTTATCATGTCTGCTCAGATGGATGTCATCTCTTATGATCTTAAAGGAACTGCAGATGTGGTGGGCACCAACAGGAGCAGTTGTTGTTCTATTCTCCTGTGGCTGCCATGAGACAATAGCCACCTCTCCCTCTCTTTTCTCCTCATTTTCCTCAAGAATTTCCAAAATTCCAGGCAAGTCTTAAATTTAAAAAATCCACCCTACTCCCACTTCCCATGACCAGGTTTATCTCACTTTACTTTCCTCTCTTTCTAAACTGCAAAGAACTACAAGTCCCAGAGTATTTTGAAGTCAGCCTATTTCTTTTCAGGGGTATTTATATTTTACATTAGTCAGTAATTTGAATAATGAAAACTTATCTGTTAGATTGGTAGTTCACATCTCATGTTTTACTTCCTCAGGTAATCTTATACATATAGTTTTTCTGTTGTTCTTTTTAAAAACTTCTCCCCAAAATTCTGATCTTTCTTGAAAACAAATGCTTTCTTTTCACAGTTCATAAACACTGAATTTCTTCCCACCTTCAACAAAATTTTCATTTAGCAAAAATCAACAAGGCTGAGTTTCTACTTTTACTTCTTTTTGATGCATGCAAATAAAGTCACATTTGTACCTGTAGGAGTTCTATTATAAACAACAGGAGAATCATGCACTTGTTTTACTAGAAATATCTCACTGTAAAAAACAAAAAGGAAAAGAACCTATTATGTACAAAAATATTTGTAGCAGCTCTTTCAGTGTTGGTAAAGAATTGAAAATTGAGGGGATGTCTATCAATTAGGAAATGGCTGAACAAGTTGTTGTATATGATTGTGAAGGAATATTATTGCACTACAAAAAATGATGAGCAGGATGCTCTCAGAAAAACCTGGACTTACATGAACTGATACAAAGTGAAATGAGCAGAACCAAGAGAACATTGCACACAGTTACAACAATATTGTATGATGATCAACTATAAATGACTTAACCATTCTCAGCAACACAACGATTCAAGACAATTCTGAAGGACTTACGATAAAATGTGCAGTCCATCTTCAGAGAAAGAGCTGACAGAGTATGAACGCAGAGCAAAGCATACTTGTTCTTTACTTTTCTTGTTTTGTTTGTTTTGTTCTTGTTTGCTTGTTTTTTGGGTCTGTGTTTTCTTTAACAACATGATTAACATAAAAATATATTTTGCATGACTGCACACGTACACAGCACCCCTGCAATCTGGAAAATCTGTGTAAAAATTTTTGGCCCTCCCTTCATGCCAGAAAGGAAGTCTGAATTTTTTCTTTTTCTTTTATGAGGTATTTACAGTAACTTATTGTAAAATTTGGGTTGATATTAATACTATACATATATTTTATGCACTTCTGAGTTTCTAAACTTTTTCTGTATTATCTGCCAGCTTCTGCATATCATTTGTGGCTTGGGCAAAACTCCCCCAAAATTTCCATTTAATTTCTTTTGCCAACAGATGATACATTGAAACTGTGATGAGGAAAGTCATGATGTGGAAAGGATAATTGTATAACCTATATCAAATTGTTTGCCACCTTAATGAAGGGGGGAATGAGAGGGAGAGAATTTGGAGCTCGAAATTTTACAAAGTGAATGTTAAAAATTGTTTTTACATGTAATTGGGAAAAATAAAATAATAAAACTACTTTTTGTTCCACCACTTATTACCATTATGGCCTTAGACAAATTACAAAAGCTATACGAGCCCATTTTATTACCTATGAAATGGAGATAATATTGTTTGCAATGAGGAATGAATCTGGTCAGTTGTAAAGCAGTATATAAATATGATCTATTATTAATGTGATTTTCACCAAAAAGCTAACAATTCTTCCTTATTGTAAAATAATATTATTTCAATGTTTAATTCTACAACTACATTAATTGTATATTAAGTCATATCTTCAGATGTGAAAAATCGCAAATTCCTTACAAATAGGTGTTAAGAATAATGATCATAGTAATCAATTAATCTATTGGACTTTAGACCTACCTCAGCTATATCTATAGCGCTCAAGATCCGCTTATCTTTCTCATCATCTTTTATTCTCTGTAAGGTTTTCCACAATAAATTTCTTAGTCCATCTTGCCTCTCATCTTCATAGAGTTCTCTGGTCATTTTCACTAGATTGTATACTAAGCCATAGTAAACAGTCCAGTTCATTTGACAACCTATTAAAAAAATCCAGAAATTTCTTATGTAAGTGTCATCCTAATTATTTAAAAGATTATATAAGTGAGGAAAATAAAACTAACTTTACTGTGAAATTGCTATGGAGTTTGCAAATCTATAATAATTATCTGTAGTTTTTAAAGTTTTTTTTTAACATAATATTATAAATAATGTTTAAAAATAGATACAATTCTCTTTTTGTTGTACATAGAAATAAATATTTGAAACAAGAGAGAAAGGCTGCTTGAGAACCTTTAAGCTTCCCCTCAAAATGATGGAAATGCTTCAAAAAGAATCAAAACTGCTAAAAATTCTCAAAATAAATTTAAAATTATTGAAAGTAATAAGCAAATCAAATAAGATCTCTAACACAATGGGAAAGAAAAATATTAAGACAAGCAGATACCTGGAAAAATGTTTATTAACAACATCAACAGTAGCAACAAAAATAAAGGCACACTTTTTTCAAGATACAATAAAATTGATTATAAATACAATGATGTTTTAAGGAAAATTTTTTAAAAATGAAATAAAGAATAAGGATTTTACAATTGCAAAAAGAAATTGTTAAGAGAAAATCTTGGTTTGGACTAGCCTTGGTCAATAAGGCAAACTCAGGAAATAAGACTGATGAGTTTGCATAACAAGGCAGTAAGTGGCCTGTGATTGCTGCTTTTCATAGAGAGGAGCAGTTTCCATAGAAGGGCAAATGTATTTTGACTGTGTTATTATGAATTATTGCTGCCTCAGCTCCTCCCTCATTACAGTATCCTAAGGACATGAATGTTATCGAGGTTGTCAAGAACCCAGGTGCGTCACTCTTGACCTGCAAAAGTACATAACCCATCTCTCTCTGCCAGGGGAAAATCTAGAGCTAGCATATTTTGTATGGCCACAGTCTCAACTGTGTGGACCTCAGTATTTACATCTTCCACTGAACCTATGGTTTCGTTAATAAATACTTGTAAATTTTTGTTCACTTCATTTACTAGCACTATATTGTGTCCAGTCTCATACAGAGGTGATATAATGGGGGGAAAATGTGCTCAGGCTCTCCCAGTTAAGGGGAAAGTGTAGCAGACACTTAACTGGCTGCATATCTGTCTTGCAAGTGTGTGCTAGAAGGAAGGGTAGGTGTGGGTAGGAGGCCAAAAAGCAACTCCTTTAACTCACACCTGCCCCATCCAATTTGAGGGAAGGCAGTAATAAGCTTTTCTGTTACATAGAAAATACAATCCCTGTGCGGCTATCCTAAAAATCCATTCACATGCGCCAGGCCTCCCAGGTTAAGAAAAATTCTCAGAAGGCCCTTTCCATTCTGAATGGTCTCATTTCATTTCAGGGATAGGGTATAATTACCTCCCATTTGCCACCCCATTTTCCTGACCTTGTGTCCTGTTTTGTTCCTAACAAAGAACTGGCAACTTGACAATATGTTGCAAACTCAAGAGGGGTGATAATTGCAAAAGGTTAGTGATCTTTTGCCAAAGAAAAGTGAATGAGTGGGAGGACTCATTCTTCCAGCCCACAGCAGCACAACTTGGTGTTGTATCCAATTTTGCCTTATTGATTGCAAAATAATAATCATGTAAGTCCTGGTTGTCTTCTTCCAGGCCCATCAGGGGCATCCCTTGTCCCAAGGACAAACGGGCATGTGAACATATCCATAGTGGATGGCCTAGTTAAATGCATGGCTGGCCTGTTGAATCAGATGCATATAAGTTTGGGATCCCCTTGTCTCCCAACCCCAAGGGTGCAAGTGCAAACAACAAATGCATCAAACAAACAAGTAGCCAAAGATTACTGATCAGTGTTGTGGTCTTTTATCAGATTAACTGGGTCCAGAGGCTAATCAGGGGTTGTTTCTGCTGGACTGAGATCAATCATGGCAGGCTTCACATGGGAGTAAGGGATCCAGGTCATCTCTTCAGCATTCTTGGTGGCAGTGTGACTTATCAGCAGGAAAAGTTTCTACCCAATGGCTCAATTGATCTCTGCACACCAAAATATATCCATAGCTCAAAGACTATGGCAGTTCAATAAAGTCAATCTGTAGGTGTTCAGATGGTAGGGCCCTCATGTCCTCCCCTCTTTTTCATAGTTTTCTTCTGCAAGGATTTACACTATTGACAAGAAAGGCAGCTGGAGACCACGCGACAGTGGTCTGCATGAACACCGTGGGCAAACCATGCCTGACAAACTTGCTGTACAAGGCTCACAAGTCAATGTCAGCCCAAGGAGAAATGATAAGCAACTTTCAGAAAAAGTAACAACAGAGAACTAATAAAACAAGCAAAATTACAATAGGATGAGTAAAGAAATCCAGCATAGTTATAGCTTATAGGGATGTCAAGTGTTTTGGCAGCATTCATGATCTTCAGAATTCTGGCAAGCATCTCCTGTGTGTTTCTCAATCATCTATGCACAGATCAGGGCAGGTCTGAGGAGGTACTTCCATCTCTAGGTTCCAAGTCACTTGTAGAAATCCCCTAGGTTATGCTATTAAGCCTGTGAGTGATAAGATTTAGTATAATTTTGTAAAACATGACAAAATCTAGTCAGATTGGCTTTCCAGCAATTAGTTCATGTGGTGAAAAACCATTCATACCTTATGGATCTAATCCTATTAACGACAGATCTATAAAAAGACCCCCAAAGTAGGAACCCATAATTCCCCGAAAACTTCAGAGAATTTCAGTTTTTACATAGCATTTGCTCTTTTTATTTTTACCCAATCTCTGTATCTCTTATGGATATGCCATCAACAGGCTTAAGGAGGAATATTAGAAAGGATTCATGAGGGCATGACTTGAAAAATGAGTTCTTTTGTTCCTTAATGTTATCAGAAAGAGATTTTGGAATAGAAAAAAAAGATGATTCAAAATTTTCTTTACAATTATTAATGCAATTTTATATGTAAAATCTTTAATTCAATCTTGAGAACTCATTAAAACATAATCAAAACTTGCAATTCCTATTAGAAACATTTGGAAATTAATCATTTATATCTAACAGTCTAATTTTGTTACTTTCTCAAAGTTTAATACTCCATTAAATTGAGAAACTTTTTTTATAGCTTATCCCTATCCCTCTCTTTTGAGAACACACATAGACACACAACAGACATATAGACACACAAACTCACACAGATATTTATGTCTATAGATATCTGTATTTCTCATATCATCCTGAAAGAATGAGATGCTTCAAGGACCTAATCTTATACATGAATATAAAACTAGCAGCAAGGGGATGGCAAACCTAAGAACTCATTTCCTTAGTTGCTTAGGATATGGAGTTGACCACAATTTCAGATTAAAAAGAGTAAGATCGGGGTAGCTAGGTGGTGCAGTGGATAGAGCATCAGCCCTGGAATCAGGAGCACCTGAGTTCAAATCTGGTCTCAGACTAGACACTTGACACTTACTAGCTGGACAAGTCACTTAACCCCAACTGCCTTGCCAAAAAAATAAATAAATAATAGTAAGGCCTTTCATTCTGCATCCCATGACAGCAACTCAGATGTTTTAGTACTAATCTATTGATAGATTTAGTATTGCAACAACAAAACTTCCATTGTTCAACTGCCCTGACTTTACAAATTTTCTATGAAAAGAAAAAGAGTGACATGGTTATGACAATAACAAAGCTGTCTCTTCAAGGGCATGAACTGATCTGACATAAACCATAAAAGGGGGAATCTCCCTTAGCTCTGTTTGATTCCAGGTAAGAACCATAGCTAAAAGCCAATAACACAACAAAGTTCCACATTATTCACAGGGTACCATAACCAGGCTCAGAATTAACCAGGTAGAGAAATTTTCTTGTTCAGAAAATAGCACAATGGGAAAATTGAGTCAAGAGAATCCTAACTTTGCCTGTGCAATGCTGTCTCTCAACTCTCCCAGATAGAAACATCCCCATGTAGTAGTTTTTAGACTACACTCCCTTTGGGCAGCATATAGTATTCCCTCAAATAGTTAACTATTTATTGGTTTACTAACAATTGAGGCAATCATACCTGAAATCAAAACTCAAAATAACATCAAATTATAATCTCAACAGATTTTTCATCAAATAGCAAAATTTCACTAATGACAGCTTAGGAATGAGATGTTATTATTTTTTTCATGTTGTAATAATTAACAATGAGCACATATGAAGACATCTCATTTATTCCCTCCAGGAATCTCTTAGGGCAGAGATCTAGACTGGTGAACAGATAATTGTCCAATGTGGGAGGTGGCTGAGAATCTTACAGATACAGCATTTAGAGAAACCATCATCAGAAGAGAAAAAGTCAGCAAGTGAGAAGGGAGAAAAAAATCCTAAAATCTTTTTTTAGTCTACACTATGAACCTCTTTCTTCCAAAAGTTGTTTTCCATGCACGTGGTATAATTATGTAAAATTCCCTAAAAGGACAAAAGCATTTATTAAGTACCTACTATGTGCTATGGACTGGGCTAAGCACTTTAAAAACATAATCTCATTTGATTCTCACAATAACCTTGAAAGGCAGGTGCCATTATCCCCATTTTATAGTTGAGGAAACTAGAGCAGACAGAGATTAAATGATTTGCGAAGGTCAGCTAGTAAATATCTGGGGCCATATTTGATCTCTTGATTTCAGACCCAGTGCCTGGGCTCCCTTACTACCTCTAATAGATGAAATTACAGAAAGAGATTCATTCAGCACTCTTCTGATCAGTACCAAATAAGTAATAAACAGTGGAAACATACTCAGAGCCACGAAAAAGGACAACTTTTATTCCAGTTAAATTTAAACTTTCTCATAAAAATTTTTTTATTTTACAGCTTAAATTAAATATTGACAAATTAATTGAAGTACATTTAAACTTACTGAAATTTGGTCAATTATTTCAGCCTATTGAGAAAAGATCTTTGGATCTCTTGAGTCTGTCACATAACTTTCAAGGCATCTCTTCCAAGCTTGTGTCATCTGGAGAGCTGACAAGCATGCTCTTAATAAATTCATCAGTCTTTAATTAAAAATGTTAAACAAAATAGGATCCTATGTTGTTATATCATTAGAGAATGTTCTACAAAATTAAAACTCTTTGAGTACTCTGGTTGTTAAATTAGTTATAAATCTACCTACTGGATTATAATCCAGTTCACATCTACTTTCTTTATTTCTTTCTTCCTTTCAAGGCAATGAGAGTTAAGTGACTTGCCCAGGGTCACATAGTTAGTAAGTGCCTGAGGCTAGATCTTAACTCAGGTCCTCCAGATGTCAGGGCTGGTGTTTTAACCACTTGTACCACTTAGCTAGCTGCCCCTCCATATGTTCACATTTTTTTTTCCCTTGGATAACTTGATCACTTGGTGTCTTTTGATTTCTATTCTGCCCTCTGGTTCTAATATATTTGGGTAGTTTTTCTTTATAATTTCTTGAAATATGATGCCAAGACTATTTTATTGACTATGGCTTTCAAGCAGTCTATTAATTCTTGTGGTTTTTGTTTGTTTGTTTGTTTTAGAGAGACAATTGGGGTTAAGTGACTTGCCCAGAGTCACACAGCTAGTAACTGTTATGTGTCTGAGGCTACATTTGAACTCGGGTCCTCCTGACTCCAGGGCCGGTGCTCTATCCACTGTGCCACCTAGCTGCCCTCAGACTATTAATTCTTAAATCATCTCTCCTTGATCCACTTTCTAGGTCTCACCCTGACCTTTTGATGACAGTGCCACTATAGAATTCAATTTGATGTATTATATTAAAATTGTTTGGAAGGGAATTTGAAGGTGAGTTTGGTTGTGTTGCTACCTTTACTCTGCTATCTAGGCTCCACCCAACAAAAGGAGTTTAAAGGTGATTAACATCCTTTATTTCACATTTTGCCTAGAGTCTACCCTGGTTTCAGGAATTAGGATTATATTCATGAAATATTTGAAACACTTTGGTTTTTTTTCCAATTAGATGTGAAAACAGTTTTTTACATTCATTTAAAAATTTTTTTTTTAAATTGAGTTCCAAATTTTGCCTCTCCACTTCTTACCCTTCCTTTTCATTGGGAAGACAATTTGATATAGGTTATACATCTGCAGTCATACAAAACATCATGAAAAATCCTGATTGATGTTATTGCTGAGTCATTTTCACTACCAAGGACTTTAAAATTGTCATTGATGGAAAGTTTATTTTTAAATATTTTGAAAAATTCTACCAAATTATCTTTAGAACAATAACATATGATACTGATAAAATTTTCTCTATCACAACTGTTTTCAAAAAGCTAAATTGGATATGTCAATGTACACATACAGATAAATACATATAAATTTGTAGCTTTTTAAGCTAATTGATAAGATACAGATGCTTGTACTTACAGTTATCTGATATTTGTGAAGAGAAATACTTTAAAAGGTCTAAAAAACTTGCTGTCTTTAATTCCACACGTTCTGTTGATTTTGTAGTCCTTAGTTCTAGACATTCTGAGAGTTTGTCACAGTCACTGAAGCCCATGAAAGCAATTTTCCGTAAACTGGATGTAGTTGCATGCAGACAAATGTCTCCAAGAATAGTTGTATACATGTAGGCTATAATCCACTCCCATGAAGAGTCATTATCCTTGTTTTCTTCCTAATATGCAAAAAATTCTTTGATATCTTATTTGTGGTTTATTAGGATTGAGATTTTAGCAAAATAATTCCGCATATGTATGTATTAAAAACCATCCTAGCATTTTACATTACAAATTAACTACAATGTACTTGGTACATTTGGTTGGTTGGTTTTTGAACCTTCTTGAAGAGAACCAAAATGACATTATTATGTTGGAGTCAAGGTACAGTATGTCCAGCTGTGACTGATCAGGCCAATATGAGCTCATAAGGCTCTGCTACAAATAGTCCACGTGAATATTCAAGGTGGAAATATCTCTAAATTTACACATCTCATGTTTCTTTTGAATTACTGCAATTCTGCTTCACTCATAGAGCACAGCACCTTCTTTGATGTGGGCATGCCTTAATGGGCAGTCCTTTGCCAGTGTCTCTAATGTCACACAATCAATTTCAAAGTTTTGTAGAGAGACCTGGAGAGTATCCTTGTATCATTTCTTCTGGTCTTCATGTGAATGCTTGCCTTGTGTGAGCTCTCTGTAAAACAGTCTTTTAGGCAAGGGTATATTTGGTATTCAAACAATGAAGCCAGCCAATAGAAGTTGAGCTCTCTGCCAACAGAATTTGAATGCCTGGCAGTTTAGCTCAAAAAAGGACTTCGGTTTCAGGAACTTTATCTTACCAGGTGATCTTCAGAATCTTCCTAAGACAATTCTAATAGAAGTAATTCAGTTTCCTGGCATGGCTCTGGTAACAGGTTTTAAAGGTATACAACTATGAGTTAAAGACAATGGCTGTGTAGACCTTCAGTTTGGTAGGCAGCCTCTTCTCTCCCACACTTTCCTTCAGAGCCTCCCAAACACTGAGTTAGCTCTGCCAGTGCATGCGTCAACTTCAACAACTATGTGTAGAGCCCTGGGAAGTATACTGTCAAGGTAAATGAATTTATCCACAGCATTCAAAATTTCCCCATTTGCTGTAGCCAATGATTCTATATGTGGTTGGTATGGTGCTGGCTGGTGTTCTCTTGGAGTTAATTGTTAAGCCAAAATTAGCACAAGCAGCAGAGAACTGATCCATACTTTATTGCATCTTGACCTCAGAGGCTGCACTGAGTGCACAGTCATCTGTGAACAAAAGATCATGCACCAACTCTCCCTCCACTTTAGTCTTGACTTGTAGCCTTTTCAAGTTGAATAATTTGACCTTGATGTCATTTTTGTCCTCCCTGAAGGTATCTGACAATATTGCTGAAAACATCATGCTAAAAAGCATGGGAGCAAGCACACAGTTCTGATTCACTTCATTGGTGACTGGGAAAGCATGAAAGCATCATCCATTATTTAGAACTTGTGCAAGCATGCCATCATGAAACTGATGTACAATATTGATGAACTTCTCTAGGCAGCCACATTTTGCCATGATTTTCCACAAGCCCTCACAACTGACAGTATCAAAGGCCTTGGTCAGATTGATGAATATTGTGTACAGACCTCTGTTCTGCTCCTGGCAACTCTCTTGGAGTTGATGGGCAGCAAACACCATGCCTACCATTTCTCGGCCTTTTCTGAAACCACACTGGCTCTCAGGTAGATGACCATCTTCCAGGTGAAAGATCAGCCTATTAAGGAGGACTCTGGAAAGAATCTTGCCAGCAATGACTAAGAGACAGATACACCCTGCCCCACTGTGATTGTCCTGTCCAATTTCCTTTACCTTTATAGAAATAGACAGTGGAGGCATCTTTTAACTCCTGGAGGATAACCTCCTCTTGCCATATCACCCAGAAAATTTCAGTCAGCTTTTGTATGAGCAGCGGACCCCCTGCCTTGTAAATCTCAGCTGGAATAGAATCAGTATCAGGTCCTTTGCCATAGGAGAGAATCCAAAAGGCATTTAAAACCTCTTCTTCAGTTGGAAGTGTCACTAGAGAGAGATGACTTCAACCTGAGGTATACAGAGAATGACTTCAGTACTGATTGATGAGGGTCCATTGAGAACACTATGGAAGTGTTCAGCCCATCTCTTCAGGATCACATCCTTATTACTAATCAATGTTGACTCTAACAGCACTGAGTAGCTAAGAAACACTACAGGCCTTTGGTCCATAAATAGCCTTCAAGGCATCATAAAAGCATTTTAGATTGTTACTATCAGTGTAAAACTGAATTTCATCTGCCTTCTTACTGAGCCAAGAATTGTGCATCTCTCTGAGCTTCACTTGCAATTTGCTTTTTGATGGAGCTAAACATTGCCTTCTCAGAGACAGATTAACAATCCTGCTGGTAAACCCTCTTGAGTTCTTGTTTGTTTTTTTTGTTTGTTTAGCAGCTTCTGAATTTCTTTATAATTTTTGTCAAACTAACCTTGATTTTTGCAAGTGTTCTGTCAGTACTGTACACCAAATCTCTGAAAGCTGCCCTTTCCTTTTCTTCTCCACTGTTACCAATCATACGTTGGCTTTGCCCTCCTTCCAAGTTAGCAATGAACTGTTCCCACTTGGAGAAGCACTCTAATCTGTTGATATTAAGTATTCTGGTTGTTGTCTTACTCTGGGGTTTGCTACTTTTGTTGAATGTGAATGTTCAGCTTGAAGAGGACAAATCTATGACCAGTCCAGCATTCCGCACCACACATTGCCTTCATCATTTGCACATCTTGTCTGTCTCTTCAACTTGCAATGACATAGTCTATTAAATGCCAATGTTTGCTGCAAGGGTCCATCCATGAAGTTCTATTTCATTTAGGTAAATGGAAGACAGTGTTGGTGATGAGAAGGTCATGAGATGTACAAGTCCTCAGTAGTAAGTGATCATTACTGCTGCTGTTTCCAACTCTATTCCTCCCATGCCTACTCTTGCATTAAAGTCACCCAGAATTAAATGATTATCTTCTTCCATAGCATTGATGTTGAAGGTCACCAGATCTTTATAAAAATTTTCTTTGACTTCATGAGGGTTCATCATGGTGGAAGCATGGAGCTTTCCTGCAAGTGGCAATCACATTGTCATGAACCTGTCTTTTACTCCTTTTGGTAGGCAAACAAGTTGGTTGGCTAGTTTGGTTTTGATTGCAAAACCTATGCCAGCTTCATAGTGTTCCCCTTCACTGTGGCCAGCTTATCTTGCTCTGACTTTGGTAAGCGAGCCTTCATTTGCTAGCCTTGTCTCATTCAGGGCTCCTATTTGGATGCAGTAACTGCTGAATTCTCTCACATAAAGAGCTGTTTGTCTTTTTGATCTGCTGGATTTAATGCTGTCCATAAATGTGTGCAATGATGATGAGTTGCAAAACTTTTTGTACATTTTTTTGTTTTTTGACCACGAGGTTTTTGTTTTTGTTTGTTTTTTTAAAAAAACCTGGAAAGATCTAAAAGAATTCATGTAGACTGAAGTGAGCAGAACCCACATCCATTATACTATTTATTTTGTAAGGCCCCCAAAAAAGTCTTTTACATTTTAAAATAAAGTTAATTTTGTTTTCAAATGTTAAAAAAACATTCTTAGCTCAGGGTCCTAGAAGAATAATATTTGGCCCTGAGGCTGCAATTCACTAACCCTAGCCTTAGGGCAAAATATTGAGAGTTCCTTCAAAAGGACTCACCCAGGGTGAGCTGTGAGTTACCCCTCTGTCTTTTGTACTCTCTCAGTTCCAGCACACTTGCCCCAGTACTTATGGGAAAGTGTGACACAGGCTAAGGGTAGGGGTGGGGAACGCTATTCACCAACTGTATCCCTCTAGCAAATATTTGCTTCTTAAAGCTAATTATATGTGGCTGACTAATTGAAACCAACTAATATTCATGGGGGGAGCACACTGACAGGAACTATAGTAGTAGAAAACCCCCTTAATCACTCAGAGTTCCCTATAACTCTGAGGAGGCAGTGCCACACTGGGTTTAGAGAGGAACTAAAAACGTATTAAATGTCTAGTCTTCCACAAAAACAAACAAACCAATCTGCTTACTCTAATTCAAAATGCTGAGATTAAGAAGGCATTTAATTTTAAATAAATAACAAAAAAAAACTCTCCTGCTGTCCAATTTAGTTTTTGCTTTTATCGCATACAATTTCCTTTAACATTTAAGTTAGCTGTTACCTGCTTCTGAGGAGGCATACAACTCGAAATAAAATATTTCCCAAGACTCAGTAAAACCTTCAAGCAGGAGGTGTTTAATTTTGCAGCATCTCCAAGGATAAACAAACCAAGGATTGAATCCAACCTAAATAATTAAAGAGCAAAGCCACTAAATTCTATGAAAAATAAAATGTCAGTCCATTAAAAAATAGAAACAATTAGATAGCTAAAGGCGACTAGTAGTTCCTATTTGTCAGATGCATATAGAATCAATACATGTTTGCCTTTGTTGACACCAACTTAAGGTCTAATTGAAAATATAAAATTTTAATAGAGATTTTATGAAGTAGAGTGTATGAATTTACAAAAGCTCTATAAGATGAAAAAAATGATCACATATTATTGTATCCACAAAGAAGAATGATCACAGAATTTAGAATTAAAAAATACCTGAACAATTGTATAGTCCAACCTCTTTATTTTACTAGTAAAGAAACCATCTGAAGAGTGACAGGGCCAGCTAGGTGATACAGTGGATAGAGAGTTGAGCCTGGAGTTAGGAAGATCTGAATTCAAATTTGGCGTCAGACACTTATTAACTATGTAACCCTAGGCAAGTCACTTAGCTTTGTTTGCCTTAGTTTCCTAATCTGGGGAAGGAAATGACAAACCACTCCAATATCTTTGCCGAGAAATTCCCAAATGAGGTCACAAAGAGTCAGGAATCCTTCAGATTTCCAGAGATGGTTTTGATAATGGGGTGTTGGGTGTGCGGTGTTACCTTATTCTGCTCAAATTGCAACTTGAATCTAGTAGCTCTGAGAGACTTCAAAGTCTGGCCTCAGAAGTGTGGGGATATATCCCTGAGAAGCTTAAGATCAACTGACAATAGGGGGAAAAAAACTTTTAAGAGAAGTCAGACTCCATCCTGCCTTAAGGACACATATAACTGCTGTTCATAGGGGCAACAGCAACAACAAATAATTAGAAAGTGTGATTCTCTCTCAGGAAGAGAATCATTTTTGGTGGGGCATTTATACACAAAGATTGCTCTATGAGTGATTACCTATGGCCATTTTTCTGCCAATTACCTCATTTTCATCCTTTCTCCTCAGTTGACCTCAGGTGGTCTTCTGTTTGATTTAAAGCTTTCTTTTCCTATTGAGTATGCAAATTAATATGAGTTTTCAAAACCACATTCCAGAAAGGAAATAATGTTCACCATTCAAGATTCATTTCTTTTTTGTTATGCTTCACAAAACTTTTTAAAAAACATATTTCTGTGAAGAATGATATATGATACTTCATGGCTCATGTTTACTACATGGAAAATTAAGGTGGTTTAAAATGTTGGAATTGAGATCTTATCAATAACAAATTTAAGTTAAGACGGACTGCAATGTATGTCGTGCGGTTTTTGCAAAAAAAAAAGCTAAAAACAATTTATGGAGAAAATGAACTAAAGAAAAGTATATAAATGGCCTCTGGTTTTCACACTGTGATTATAAATTATTTTCACTGCCAGATAAGGTGTGATTAACATTTAAATAAAAAGGCTGTTTAATATTTAAGCACAAAAGTTGCTCTATGTGTTCCATCAGGTTTAAAAGAGAACCCTTACCAGAATTTTTTCTGAAGCTGTTCTTTATGTACGAGGAGATGTTCAAGTACTTCATTTAACTGAGACCTATGGTTCTGTACACAAGACCAAACAACAATGCAATGCCAAAGAAGGTGACTCACTTCCTGTTTTTTTGAATAAGGCTTAGATTTGTGTCTCTGTGATTTAAGGAGACATGAAAAGAACATGTTTAAGAATTCTTTAAATTAAAATCAACATTTATTTTCTAGTTCTATTCAGTTTTCACAGTTAAGTTATTTATACGCTATCAACATTATCTTAAGTACATTTTAGATAAACTTGCTACATGCACTCAGTTAAATGCAAGACCACATGTCCTCAAAAGGACCCACAGGATGTAGCAAATAGCTGTGCTTTGAGGGGCTCGGTGGTGCTCAGTGCTTAATGGCATGCAAATTGAGGAAGGAAAGGGAACTGGTAGGACACAACACCTACAGCTGCTCTGACAGATTTACATTTCTATTTTATACACAAAAAAACTGTTTTGATGTTCTGGTTTCTATCATATAGTGTATTCTAAGCACCCTTTGATCTGGTCAAGAAAAAATGCATTACTACTATTTCTTTGAGTTCTGTATAAATCTTGAATGTGCCTGGTTATTTAGATGCTGTTTACCTCACTATAATGTGAACACCTTGAGGGCAAGGGCTGTTTTTACTTTTATCTCAGCATTTAGCACTGGGACTGGGACTGGAACACTGTAAATAGTAAATATTTCTTGATTGTTTGACTAGCATTTTCTGGTCTTACTATTTAACAATGGGGGAAGGGAATAATCATTTATGTAGTACCTACTATGTGTCAGGCACTGTGCTACGTGCTTTGTGCAAATATTATCTCATTTAATCTTTACAACAACCCAGTGGGATACATGCTTTTATTATCTCCATTTTACAGTTGAGGAAACAGGATCCCATAGCTAGTAAGTGTCTGAGGCCAAACTAATTTCAGGCCTTCCTGACTCTAGGCTCAGTAGTCTATCTACTGAGCCACCAGCTGCCTTTAATAATATATTAACAATAATCATTGAACTTCTGTGAAGAATTAAGTGTTCTGAGAATTGCATTCATTTCTAAAAATTACTTTTAGAACTGATCATCAAAAATTACCATGAGCTCATATATTATGCTTCTATTTCTCAAAAGTATCATTTTAACAGTCTTAAGCAGTATTAAGGGATAATTGCATGAAAGAAATAATAGCTAACAACTATGTACAATTTTAAAAACTAGAGGTCTAGTTCATAAATGTTAATTTAAGAGATTCAAAAAAGTTTCTAGTAATGTCACATCAAAATATCCAAATGCAAAAAAGATTTACTGTTAGAATTGTTAATTTGTTAGAAAACTGAAAAAAAGAAAAAGGATCACCACCTTAACGTTTTTTACTATTAAGGATAGTATTTATCATTTAACTAACAAAAGAAAAACAAAAATATTCAATCTAGAGAACAAAACTCTGCCTTAAAAATTCTCCTTTCAATAAGGTGCCTCTCATAAAAATTATACAAGATTCCTTGAAAATGACATTGTTCAATGACCTTAATTATTAATATAAAGTAAGGCATAAAATAGAGGTATGAGATCACTAAAAGTGTTTGACGCTATCACAGAGGATGTATAGTACACAGTCAAAATTAATGACAGACTTATACATAACAAGGTCCTCCAGATGCTACCATTTGCAAATGACATTGTACTAACTGAAACAAGACCCAAAGTACTGCAGAGCTTCATAAAGAAGATATATAATTGTTCAAAAGAGTTTAAGCTATCTATCCACATAGGAAAAACCAAGTAAATAACAAATGTCTATTGTTCAGACTAGGATAGGATTGAAAGGGCACGGATTCAAAGCAGAAAAAGACTTCAGAAGTCCTCTAGTCCAACTCCCTCTTTTTTACAGAAAAGGAAACTGAAAAAAAGGAAACAAAGGAAACAAAAAACTTGCTCTGTGTCACCCAGACAATAAGCAGCACAACTAAAATTTGAACCCAGGTCCTTTAATTCAAATCTAGCATTCATGAGATGCAGTTCGGTGGATAACCTATAAAGTTTATCCACTAGAATTTCCAATATTTTGGAAAGATATTGAAAATGAGTAATAAATGGAGGCTCAGACCTTACCCCAAAAGAATGTAAGCTCCTTGAGGACAAGGTCCATTTTATTTTGGGTGTGTGTCCCCAGTGCCCAATGCTATTTGACAGCAACAAATAGTAAGTGCTTAATTAATGTTGATTGGTTTTTGCCATTTTTTAAAGAAGTTTCATGCATAAAAATAATTGCCATAACAGAGAACAACAACAAAATCCCAGAAAAACCATCTAAACCAATAGACACTTTGATATCTTTGCCAACTAGAGAGATATTGGAAGGCAAGGGCAACATTAGTTTAGAATATATGTTGTCCTGTGTAACATTTAAGAGGAATATGATAGAAGATTAGAAACAATATCATCTCAGAAAACAGTGAAAAGCAGTGTAAGCGGAATCAATAGCTTCATACTTGGCATGAGACCCAAACAAGTCAAATTACTGCATAAGCATTAATATCCCCAAATAAAAAGAAGGTAAACAGAAATGTCTCTATAGTTATCTATACTTATCATTAGAAAATAGAACTGCTATATTTCCACTCAATGCTATAGAATAGTACTGAGAAATCAGAAGTTGGGAAAAGAGGTTGAAGCTATGTAATACTTAGCAGAAAAGGAGGTGAATCGATTTTTAAAAGACCTGGAATCAATGAAGCCTCCAACATTTTCAAGTATATCATTTATGAAAGATTTATGAAAGGACCCAAAAAATTCTATAGATTAGAAGATAGAAATGGATTTTGATCTGTTACAATGGTAAAGTCACAGACCCATTGAAGTATCAGAGTAAGTATCCTCATTCTCTACTATATTCCATATTATTAAGGTAGCCTGATAAGTGATATAAGAATAAGAAAAAACTGATTTCTTTGGATGTCTTCCTGCTATTAGGTCTATATCGCTTCTGACTAATGAAGTAGAAAAAAGTATGACAGGACATCACTTGTTGATTGTAAAGACTTGTAATCTAGTTCCCAATAATCCTTTAAAAATTCTGTATACTTCAATTTGCAATATGTAATTGGGGTATGGGGAACAATAAATCACATGCTGATTTGTAGTATTTGTGGATTCCAGAAATCTAACAATAAAATTTAACTGAAAATTTAACAATAAACTCTCATCAGCCAGTTTGAACTGGTTCTAGCATAGCCCTGGCTATTTTTAAGTGGACTAAAGGGTTATTAAAGTGTTCTTCAAAAACAAGAAGCAGTTTTTCTCAGTATTTTTTACTACTGCATTAGCCAAGAATGATTCAGATCTTGTTACCAGAAAGAAATTCAGACAGGACAGTTTTTCAATTATTCTCATTATCAAGGCACCTTAACACTCTAGAATATAGCTGAGAATGAGGGTATTTACTCTGATACTTGAATAGGTCTCTTCCTAAAAGCACATCACAATCCATTTCTGCTTTCTCACTGTGGGATTCTTGTATCTGTGTCTTTTCATAAATCCCCTATAAATATTATACTAAATATGTTGAGAAGCTAAGTGGCACAGTGTATAGAGTGCTAGGCCTCATCTTCCTGGGTTCAAATCTGGCCTTGGGCACTTAAATAACCCTGGGCAAGTCAATCCTGTTTGTCTCAGTTTCTTCATCTGTAAAATGAGCTGGTGAACGAAAAGGCAAATCATTCCAGTATCTTTGCCAAGAAAACCCCAAATAGGGTCACAAAAGCAATAAAACATAGGCATATTATACTTTAAAACTAAGTCAGTAGCTGCAGGTATTGTATGCAGGTATGTAGGGGTTAGTGGTCCAGTTTCACAATCTAACGGGGGATACAATATGCAAACACTTAATGTGCAAATGCAAATAAATAGGAAATAATCAACAGAGGGAAGATATTAAAATTAAGGAGAACTGGAAAAGTCTTCCTGTAGCTGGAGGTATTTTAGTTGTGATTTGAGGAAGCAAGGGAAGCCAGGAGGTAGAGACTAGGAGGGAGAACATTCCAGCCAGTAAAAATTCCCAGAATTGGGAAATGGAGTGTCTTATTCAAGGAACAATAAGGACACTGCCCCTGGATAGAAGAGTACATGGGCAGTGTAAGGAAAAAGATTAGAAAGATGATTCAATGTCAAACCAATATTTTTGCAAATTCATTTCCCTCTCCATCACTTTGATGTTTTATGATTTGATTGCTACTCTGTTATATTTTACGAATAAGTTTACATATAGCATTGACATTAGCTGTTCTCTTGCTTGGCAAAGATATCCAAATGTTTGGTTGTGGGATGATTTGTTTTTGTTTTGTTGATCTTCATATATAGTGGAAATTGCCTTATATGGACTAAACTTTTGATGATGATTTTTTTTGCTTTATCCATTTCCCACTGTGTTGTTGACAGCCTGTTTGATCAGATTGAAGATGTTTTAATTACCTTCTTCATATCTTTCTCCTTTTAATTTGGTGCAGATATTAATTCTGCATAGACAGCTGATTAGGAAATTATTCACACATCAATAATCCATTATTTCCTATCTGTTAGTACATAGTCAATTTAAACTTAGAATGACATTTGATGACTTCAAAGACCAACACTCTGATTCTCTTCCTAAAGGAAGTATTCATGAAATACAGGCATGAGGCTCCTGTATAGTCAATGAACCTTTGATATTTTTCATTTCTCAATCTAGAATGATATTTTCCAAAGATTTTCCAAATCTTTCTTTTTGCCCATCTTCACATTAAAGTAACTGAAAATCACTGATTGATTTCAGTGTTTGGAGTATGCTGTCAAGTACGTCAAAGAATTTTTCTATTTTTCCATTCTGTGCAAAAGCTAGATATTAGATAAACATCTTCACGAATCTTCCAGTATTATTTTGGCTTATGCTCATTATCATAAGCCCTGCAAAGAAAGATGACCAGGTGTCCCATAAAATTATGTATCTTGTTACTTTTGGACACATGATAGAACCAATTCTGCCAGTTCTTTTATTTATCTCTCCAAAGATAGTAGACATGCTCCCATTTTTGTGAAAATTTCAAAAAAATTCTTCTGGTTACATATGTAGCATTCTCTTCTATAT